TGAGACCAGGTTGTGCTGAGACCCCTGCCCACCCAACCAAGAGGAGTCACCCCCCATCCCCCCACCTTGGTCCTCAACCGCTAGCAATGGAAGGGCCTGTGTGGCACCTCACACAGCTCCCTTCTTGCCAGATGGGGAAATGGAACCCAGGGAGGCTGATTCTTGCCCAAAGATATGTAATCAGCTAGGAGTGAACCCAGGACCAGAGTCCAGTTTTTTGACTCCTGACTCAGTTCTCTTCCTACCACATCAGCGTGAAGCTGCTGCCAATGTTTGGAGCCAGGGCTGGGTAAGGTGAACTGTCTATCTATCTACAAGAGGTGCTAAAGCATCACTGGAAACTTAGCGAGGTGCAGGGAAAAGGTTTTTCCAGAGCTCCTCTGAGAGTGAGTGCTGCAAGCGGTTAGAAGTGTCTTTGGTCCCAGCTCTGCCACTTCGGGATTAGGTGAGCTCAGTCAGTTTCCTCATCTATACAATGGAGTAATAATAGTATCTACTTCATGGGGGTGTCACAAGGATTAAATAAAAAGTACTTGTAAATTGTATTGTAAATAATAAAATTTGTAGATACAACTTAAGAACGTTTTTAGAAAATATTGGAGCACACTTAAAGAGTGCCCAGCACTTTGTAAGGGCCATATGAGCGTTGGGTTGTATTATTATGAGGTTATTTGGGAACTGGTATTGTCGGGGGGAGGAGGTGAGTTTGGCCCAGCACTGAGTTGCTGAGGAGGAGAACAGCCCTCAAGCTGACACTGAGGTCCCCCTCCTGTGCCCAGCCCTGTCTCTATGGTACAGATACTTAAAGAGATGGTGTCTTGATTGGGGCTAGGGTTAGCAGGTGTCCAAGGCCTTCCTTCCTGCATGCCAACTCTGTCCCGTAGGGGCATCCCTCTAAGCCTCCCAGGTGTGCAGAGGGCAGGGTGTTTGTGGGGTCATGTGAGGCCATCCTTGTGAAGTGCTCAGACAGATCCTGGTCCCAGCTGACACTATCTAGATATTTGACAATAACAGTAACCCTTCCATCCCTGATAGAATGCAAACTCCATCAGAGCAGGAATCTTGGTCTGTTTTACACACGATGCATCCCGAGTTCCCAGAACCACGCCGGGCACATGGTAGGAACGCAGTAAATACTCACTACACGGGTGAGCAAATTTGTCCCCGTCTTTAAGGGGATTAGGATCTAAAGGAGGAATCTGGGAAATAGTCACAGACACTATGCAAATCAATTTAGCACTCAGGCATTCTCAATTCCTCCTTAATTTGTCCTCTAAGTTACATTGATGCTGCCACCCGCCACCTTCTCTAAGAGCCGGGCTCCCCTCAATTACCACTGTGCCTGCTTTCTCCAGGCTTCTATTTGATCTCACCTGGAGAATTGCCACAAACTCTTCTTCCACTCCCTTTCCCCTGAAACCAAAAGAGGGACTTCCTAAAACTCCCATCGGATCACTCCCTTGCCTGAAAAAGCTTCTCATTGTCCCCAGGCTAAAATCCAGCTCCTGTGGTCCTAAGCACATGCAGAGATGCTCCACGCCATCAGTCATCCAGGAAATGCAAACCCAGATCACAGCAGCCATACCACGTGCCCCTTCACACCCACTGGGATGCCTGGAATCCAAACAGCACAATCCCATGTGCTTATGAGGATGTGGAGAAACTGGAACCTTTCCACACTGCCGGTGAAAACATGAGAGGTCATAGCTTCTGTGGAAACTGGTGTTGGCAGTTCCTCAAAAAGTTAAACATAGAATTACCATATGACCCAGCAGCTCCACTCCTAGGCAAATACCCAAAAAAACTGAAAACACATGTCCATGCAAAAACTTGCTCATGAATGTTCATAGCAGCATTAGTCATAACTGCCAAAAATTGGAAACAACCCAAATGCCCATGAACTGATGAATAGATAAATAAAGTGTGGTTTTCTCGGTCCATTTGTGTTGCTATAACAACATGCCACAGACAGAGTAATTGATAAATAATAGAAATGTATTTCTCATGGTTCTGGAGGCTGGGAAGTTTAAGATCAAGGCTCCGGCAAGTTCAGTGTCTGGTGAGGGCAGCTCTCTGCTTCCAGTGTGGCACCTTGTTGCAGTGTCCTCTGGAAGGGGTGATCTCTGTGTTCCCTCAAGACCTTCCATAAGGGCCTTTATCTCATCCATGAGGTCATAGCCCTCATGGCCTAACGACCTCCTCAAGGTCCCACCTCTTAATACTGTTGCATTGGGGATTAAGTTTTTTTTTTTCCTTTTTGTCTTTTTTCGAGACCGGTAATGGGATCGCAACCCTCGGTGTCACGCCCGCACCGCGCTCAACCAGTGAGCGGACCGGTCTCTATATGGGATCTGAACCCTTGGCGGGAGCGCCGCCGCACTCTACCGAGTGCGCCACCGGGCCAGCCCAGGAGATTAAGTTTTAATATGAATTTTGGAGGGGACACAAACATTCAAACCACAGCAGTGGTATAGTCATACAATGGAATATTATTCAGCCATTAAAAGGAGTGAAGTGCTGATCCATGCTACCACATGAGTGAGCCTTGGAAACGTGATGCTAGGTAAAGAAGCCAGTCACAAAGGACCATGTATCGTATAATTCATTTACACTAACTGTTCAGAATAGGGAAATCCAGAGAGACAGAAAGCAGATTAGTCATTGCCAAGAGCTGGGTGATCAGGTGTGGAGGGTGACTGCTTACAGGTATGGGATCTCTTTGGGGTGATAAAAATATTCTGGAATTATGGGCTGGCCCCGTGGCTCACTTGAGAGAGTGCATAGTGCTGAGGCAATGGGTTCGGATCCTATATGGCCTTAGTTGGGCCCCCTGCTTCTGCTCTGAAGTTGCCTGTCCCCCTCCTCAACCTCAAGACCCTCTCATGTGTTCCCTTCTGATTCCGCCTGACGACCTTCTCTGTCCTGTTTTCTCCTCTGGAATTTCTTTGTGGATATCCTCAGCTCACCTCCCTCCCCTTTTTCTTCCCTCCCACGTTGTGTATAGAAGTTCAGCCCATTGTGACAGGTGTAATAAGTTTGGGCCCTGAGGATATTTTAATCTGAACCATACCAACCCTGCTGCATTTTCATCAGAGACATACTTTGCGGAGCAAACTCCATGGAGCTTAAATAAACCCTTGATCGATGTTCTAGAGAACTCTGTTCAACTGTATTTCTCTCCTTATTTTCACTTTTACTTTTAGCTGTATTTGATTCTCTCCCTTTCACATTTTATAACAAAGTTTCAGGGAGCCCCTGCTACCTCTCCCAAGCTCCGTTTTCCTGGAGTACAGTTTGCAGGTCTAGGTTTTGTAGTGAAGACCTGATTCTTCCACCAATGTTTGGGCAATAGCACATTTTTTCCTTGTGTAGCATTTGCCCTTCCAAGTTTTATTTTGTCACATTGTCCTAATAATCATGTTCCTTACAGATTGAATAGAAGACTGATAGATTACGTTTATTTCTCAAAAATGTTTTTTTTTTTTTTTAAAGATGACCAGTAAGGAGATCTTAACCCTTGACTTGGTGTTGTCAGCACCATGCTCAGCCAGTGAGCGAACCGGCCATCCCTATGTGGGATCCGAACCCGGGGCCTTGGTGTTATCAGCACCGCACTCTCCCGAGTGAGCCACGGGCCGGCCCTCAAAAATGTTGCCGGGGCCTTGGTGTTATCAGCACCGCACTCTCCCGAGTGAGCCACTGGCCGGCCCTCAAAAATGTTAAATTAAGTCTCAAATAGCTAATACACCTATGTGGTAGAAAAAGTGCAAGCAGCACAGAGCGTGTGCAGAGGAAAGCCTGTGTCCCTCTTTTGCTGACCCCATTCTCCCACTTCCCCTCCCCAAAGGCCATGTCCCCTGCAGGGCACTCAGTAGCCTGGCTCTGTGAGGAGATCCACCCACAGGCTTATCAGGTGGCTCCTGGGGTCAGCACCTGCCGAAGGGAAGGAAGGGTTGCAAGAGGGGCAGGGGAGAAACCAGGCTGAGATAGTCTTCAGGAAGGCTCAGCTGACTGCCTGGGAGCGCTGGAGCTGAGCTGTCCCCAGTTAGGACAAGGGGGTCATATACCTCGGGCAGGGCAGTTTCTCTCAGCTGAGGGCAATCGGCCCCTCCTCCCCAGGGCCATCTGCTCTGCAGCCAGCACTCCCAAAAGCTGGGGGTTAGCCCCCTGAAGGAACCTGGGTGGCCCAGCATGGAGACTACTGTCACCCACTGTCACCAAGTTGTCTCTGGCCCCTCTGTACCCTTGATAGCTGAATACTTATTTTTTATTTTCTCATACCACTGGAGGCTCCTCCCAGCCAAGTTAACTGTTCAAAGCCTCTGTCTCTTCCATCCCTGCCTCAGGGCGGAACCCACACAGTGGGGGCAGCTGGGCCCTAGCCTCAGGCAGCCTGGGGAGCACAGCCTTGAGAATCAGGCTTTTTTTTTCTTTTTTTTCTAAAACAACTTTCTAGGGCTCTGGAATTATAAAAGGCAGCTGGGCCCTAGCCTCAGGCAGCCTGGGGAGCACAGCCTTGAGAATCAGGCTTTTTTTTCTAAAACAACTTTCTAGGGCTCTGGAATTATAAAAAGCTCCCATGTGTCATTTTCTGGCAGTTGTACAGCTGCAGAATGCCACTCAGCAAGTGCTGCTATCTTCCCTGAGGTTTAATGATTGACTGATGTGTTGAGTTTGGCCAAAGCAGTTGAAGGTTATCACGAATCTGTTGTAAGGAGGTTTGTTAATGTATAATAAAAATCTAGTGCACAATACACTTTTCTAAATACACTTTTCCTGATGTCTCATGGACTGAGTGCTGCCAAGCTCCACGGGAGGCACATGAAGAATTGGTGACAGGGTCTTGGGATGTAAGAAAAGAGAACGAGCCCATGAGGGGGAGGATACCAGTCTGCTCACCTGTGGCATGCGCGCCACCTGTCATGATGAGTGACTCTGGCTCATCTCAGGTGTGACTGCAGGTGACTCATCTCTTCCTGCCCCCCTCCTCCTCCAGCCTCATGGCGACCTCCCCCGTCCTGCAGAAGGAGACACTGTTCCAGTCGGGATCTCATGTCTACAGAATCCCCGCTCTGCTCTACCTGCCTCGGCAGCAGACGCTGCTGGCCTTTGCGGAAAGGCGGGCAAGCAAGAAGGACGAGCACGCAGAGCTGATCGTCCTGCGCAGAGGCAATTACGACGCCTCTACCCACCAGGTGCAGGTAAGGCAGACCCTGGCTGCGGCTGCTCCGCCCAGCCTTGCTCCACTTGCACCACTTTGCTAGTGTGTCAGGGAGCCAGGCCTGGATCTCATGGAATATGGGAACGATTCCATCCCTTGATGGCTGAGATCAGGGAACAGGGAAAAGACACGTTGGAGCCCAGGGGGGAGCCAGGGAACCATTCAGGGATGGGGCAGAGAAGGTGGCTCCAGGGATTACCTGGACCTCACGTGGGTTCACCAGGAATGAGTCCAGTTGGCCTGGTCGCACCTGTTTGATTGCATGACCGGACAAGTTTTCCAGCATCCTTGGGAACCCGAGGGAGGAATAGTTCAGTATTGCATAACTGGGAGGTTGTATCCTTTGAGTAAAATAAAACCTGGGGAGTAGGGAGTGGAGATATTGCTTTTGTCCTGAAGTTCCAGCTTGTAGACCACGAAATTAATTTTGATGAAGACAATCAAGACTGGTTTATCTAGTTGAAGGGTTTAATACTATTTTTGTTATTACTTGGTAGTCATTACTACATAATAGTTATTGAAAGCATGGGGTTTGAGGCAGATGGACCCGGGCTCAAGGCCTGGTCCACCACTTATCAGTGGTACAGTCTTGGGCAACTCATCTACCCTGTCTAAGCTTCTGTTCTCCAGATGTAAGACGGAGCTTCTAACTCTTGTTCCCCAGGGATTGGGGCATTAGATAAGACAATGGAAGTTAGACTTTTGGCACAGTGTCTGCAATTAGAATCCCTCAAAGGGGTAGCTGTTCATGAATGTTGATAGTCTGCAGAGCTGCAGCATACATGACATAGACCTGGAGATGATAGAAGCTCAATGTGAGTCCTCAGTGTCACAGGGCTGGCCCCTCTTAGGCCACATTACTAGAGTATGGTGTGTAGAAGATGGGAGGTGATGGTCATATTCTGTCCCTCACTAGTCGGGCTACTGTGCTCCCTACTAGGGCTTTGCTTTTCAAGAATGGCAGGCTGGACTGGGCTGGCAAGTGGAAGGAAAAAGGATGAGGCTGGCCATGGCTCCTGGGAGCATCTTGGGGTCTAGTGCATGGTGGGTATTCAGTAAACATGTATTGCTTTTCAAGAATGGCAGGCTGGACTGGGCTGGCAAGTGGAAGGAAAAAGGATGAGGCTGACCATGGCTCCTGGGAGCATCTTGGGGTCTAGTGCATGGTGGGTATTCAGTAAACATGTATGACGGGATTGGAAGCCACAGAGCCACCAAGTGCAGAGTGGCTGCCTGGGGGGTTGTGGGGGCGGCCTGGCTCCAGCCGCTCTGGGAGATGTAAAAGGGTGTGAGTGCTGGGTGAAGAGTTCTCCTCCTCGGCCTTTGGTTCTAACCCCGTGACACATGCCCGTCCCATCTGTCCCCAAGTGTGGCTTCTGTCACCATCACCTGTTGGTATTTCAAAGCAGTCCTTCTCCTTCTTTGTCCCTCCTCATGTTCAGTGGCAAGCTCAGGAGGTGGTGACCCAAGCCCAGCTGGAGGGCCACCGGTCCATGAACCCGTGCCCCTTGTACGACGAGCAGACAGGGACCCTTTTCCTCTTCTTCATTGCCGTCCGGGGGCAGGTGTCTGAGCACCACCAGCTCCTCACCAGGGTCAATGTGACACGGCTGTGCCAAGTCACCAGCACCGACCACGGGAGGACCTGGAGCCCTGCCAGAGACCTCACCAGCTCCGCCATTGGCCCAGCCTACAAGGAGTGGGCCACTTTTGCAATCGGCCCGGGGCACTGCCTGCAGCTGCACAACGAAACCCGGAGCCTGGTGGTGCCCGCCTATGCCTACCGGAGCCTGCACGTCCTGCAGAGGCCTCTCCCCTTTGCCTTCTGCTTCCTCAGCCATGACCACGGGCACACCTGGCAGAGGGGGAACTTTGTGGCCCCGGACACCCTGGAGTGCCAAGTGGCTGCTGTCATGGCCAGTGGACAGAGCATGGTATATCTCAACGCCAGGAGCCCGGGCAGAGCCAGGGTGCAGGCCCAGAGCACAGATGGTGGCCTGGAGTTCCAGGAGGCCCAGGCCGTGCCCAGGCTCGTGGAGCCCCCACACGGCTGCCAGGGCAGCATCGTCAGCTTCCCCGGCCCCGACGCGGGCCCGGGCTTCCCAGCCAGGTGGCTGCTCTACTGTCACCCGACAAACCCGCACCAGAGGTCCGACCTGGGCATCTACCTCAATGCGCGGCCCCCAGCGCCCGAGGCCTGGTCGGCGCCTGCCCTGCTGGCCACCGGCGCCTGCGCCTACTCAGACCTGCAGGACCTGGGGACCGGCCCTGACGGCTCCCCCCAGTTCGGGTGTCTGTACGAGTCGGACACCTACGAGGAGCTTGTCTTCCTCCTGTTCACCCTGAAGCAAGCCTTCCCCGCCCACACCCGGGCACCATGAGCCACCGCCGGCCTCGGGAAGGGCCCACTGAGGAGCCGGACACCCTCTCCTCTGTCGGGGTCCTCGGGACTTCGGGGGCCGGCTCTAGGCTCCCTCCATGAAGGGTGTGTGGGGAGGTGTGCTCTTGCCTCTCTCCCTCCTTTCTTATTCCAGCCTTCCTGGAACATTCTATTTTCAGCCCAGAAACCGAAGGAACTTGGCTTCCTTGACAGGCAAGGCGCAGAGAGCCCTGCACGGTGGCTGTCACTCTGCACAGTGGCTGTCACTCTGCACAGGCTCGACTCGCTGCTCCCCCACCCAGCTTTTGCGTAGGTCGTGTTAAATTACCTAGCCCAGTCCATTTCTTCTTGGGAAATGCTGGCCGTGCTCCTGGAGAAAGGCTGAGACAGAGGTGTGAATCAGCGGAGACGTGTGTGTGTGTGTGTGTGTCTGCGTGTGCGGGTTTGTGTGTGTGGACATGTGTGTGCCTGTGGGGTGTGTTTTCTTCTTGGGAAATGCTGGCCGTGCTCCTGGAGAAAGGCTGAGACAGAGGTGTGAATCAGTGGAGACGTGTGTGTGTGTGTCTGCGTGTGCGGGTTTGTGTGTGTGGACATGTGTGTGCCTGTGGGGTGTGTGTGTGTGTCTTGCTAATGCTTTAGAGGAGACAGAATGGGGAACCGCTTTGCAGGGAGGTAAAGCAGGGTCTGGCAGCTGGCTAAGTCACTGTATTCGTTTCCTAGAGCTGCCATAACAAATTATCTCAAACTTGGCGCCTTAAAACAACAAAAACATATTCTTTTGCAGCTCTGGAGAGCACAAGTCTGAAATCAAGGTGTCCCAGGGTCGTGCTCCCTCTGGAGATGCTGGGGGACAATCTTTCCTTGTCTCTTCCAGCTTCTGGTGGCTCCTGGCAATCGTTGGGATTCCCTGGTCTGTGGCAGCTTCGTTCCAGTCTCGGCCTCTGCCTTTACAAGGCTCTCTCCTCCTTTTCCTGCGTCTTCTCTTCTGTCTCTTACAAGGACGCTTGTCATCGGATTTAGGGCCCACCCAGATATTCCAGGATAATCTCATTTCTCAACATCCTTAACTTAATTTCATCTACAAAAAAGACCCTTTTTCCAAAAAAGGTCACACTCACAGGTTTTGGGGGTTAGGACATGGATATATCTTGGGGGGCCACCGTTCAACTCACCACGGTTGTCATAAGTTGTTGTTGTATAGGTGATGTGGCCAAAGGTAGGAATGAAGTTCAGATGGATCAGGTAATTCAGAAGAATCAAGGGGACAGGAGGGGTTGAGGTTGCTGGATGTGTATCTCTGGCGTGAAGCTGCTTGGGACACTCAGTCTTTGCGGTGACAGGTAGTGCCATGTGGAGGCAGAGAGGGGAGGGCTGCTGTGGTTGTGGAGTTCTCGCCATAAGGACAGAGCAGGGGAAAGCTACTCCCTGGTCATCTTGAGGGGTGATGACCTGAGGGGTGATGACCTTGAGGGGAGAGAGCCCAGCCCGGGTGGAGGAAGCTGACACCTCTAGCCTCCCAGGACCTTTAGGGGCCTTCATCACATGTCCTGTGGAAGAGTAGACTTGCCCCTGCCCCCTTCAGAGCTTCTCTAATCAGCTCTCCTGCCTCAAGGGGATCAAAGACAGCAGTCATGGGTTCTTGCACGTGAGTGGCATCTCTGCCTGGCAGTAGTGATTAAACAGCATTTTCAGTGTGGGGAGCAGGAGGTGTGGCTTTGATTCTGGCGTGGTTCCAGGCATGGGCCTCCTATCAGGCTGCTACTCTTCCGTGTGGGGTTTTAAGAAATCTGGCTGGAAGAATGACAAATTCTGGTCCAGTCACTGCTAAGATGGAAAGTTAGGTCCCTCTCTTTTGGGGGTGCACACCTGGTGTCTTCCAAACCACTTAAAGGTGGGAGAAAGACCAAGACTCAACTTAGGAGGGGAAGGACATGGCAGCCCACCCTCCAGAGAGTTAAGGGTAGGGCAACTCTATAGTGTATTATACAAATCGCAACACTTTTGAGAGCAAAAGGGGAATGCCACCAAGAATTACACCAGGACAACAGGCATTAACCAGGACTGTGCCAGGCAAATGGGGAGCTTTAAAAGAGAAAGACCCACTGAGGATTGTGCCAAGACCAAGACTCAACTTAGGAGGGGAAGGACATGGCAGCCCACCCTCCAGAGAGTTAAGGGAAGGGCAACTCTATAGTGTATTATACAAATCGCAACACTTTTGAGAGCAAAAGGGGAATGCCACCAAGAATTACGCCAGGACAACAGGCATTAACCAGGACTGTGCCAGGCAAATGGGGAGCTTTAAAAGAGAAAGACCCACTGAGGATTGTGCCAGGAGCTGGTCTCCATTTGCTTCCCTGGAAGAGCCAACCATCTATTAAAGGCCTTGAGAAAAGGCAGGAATAGGATAGGGCATCTGGCCACTGCCAAGCAGAATGTCACTCTCTTAGACGCTCACCATTCACAAAGGTCAGTGGAGAGTTCCCTGGGGAGCTTTTGAACAACCCCGATGCCTGGGCTCCACCCCCGAACAACTGATGCAGTATCTCTCATAGTGGGTCCCAGGCAGGGGTATTTTTTCCAAAAGTTCCTCTAGTTATTCTAATGAATAGGAGTCAAGAATCACTGGTGCAGATGATCTCTGTAGTTCCTTCTAGTTCTGAGTGTATACAAATGCCACAGAGTCTTTTGATTTGGATAGGAAAAAAAGCAACAGTTGATTCGATTAAAGCTGAGCTTATATGCTCATCAAAAGGCATCGTTGAGAGAGTAAAAGAGAAAAGCCATACATGGGATAAGATATTTACAATACATATATCTGACAAAGGACTTGTATCCAGAATGTACAAATAGCTCCCAAAAGACAAACAATCCAATAAAAATGGGCAAAAAGCTTGAACACGCACTTTACAAAGGAGGATATCCTGAAGGCTGCTGAACACATGAAAAAATGCTCAACATTATTAGTCATCAGGGAAATGCAAATTAAAGCCATAGGACATTTATCCAGTAGAACGACTAGATTGAAAAGTTGACAATAGCATGTATCAGCAAGGCTGTGAAGCCACTGAAACTCTCATACGTTTCTGGCAGAAGCCTGACTGGTACAACCACTTTGGAAAGTGGTTTGACAGTATCTACTAAAACTAAACAGGCACAAACCCTAGGATCCACCAATTCCACTCTCAAGTGTAGATACAAGAGAAATGAATGCTTGTATCTGCCGAAGACAAATGTAAGAATGTTTAAAGCAGCTTCATTCATAAGAGTCCCAAAGTAGAAACAACCCAAATGTCAATTGAAAATAGAATGGATAACTAAATCAGGGCATATCCATGCATATTCATATCCATGCATATTCATTGCCCTAAAAGAATAAACTGCTGCTATGTACAATGTGATTTTCAGACATTATGTTGAGTGAAAGAAGCCAGACACAAAAGAGTGCATACTTTATCATTCCATTTATATGAAGTTCAAAAACAGGCAAAACTAATCTAGTCAGGATAGACGCTCTTTCTGGTGGAGGGGAGCTGTTGACTGGAAGAGGGCAAGAGGGGAACTTCTGGGTGCTGGAAACATTCTATTGTTTAATCTGGGGCTGGTCATGTGGGCGATTCCGTACGTAAACGTTTGGTGGGCTGCACATAAGATCTGGGTACCTAACTATATCGATGTTATGCCTCAATAAAAAATAAAAGTTGAACCAAATAAAGTTTAACTTCCAAAGCAATATATTATGTTGGATTTTAATACTGTGAAACAGATTTTTTAAATAAACTTTTTATTTTGGAATAATTTTAGATTTACACAAGAGTTGCAAAGATAGTACAGAATGTTCCTGTGTACCCCACACCCATTTTTCCTACTGTTAACATCTTACATAACTGGTATATTTGTCAAGACTAAGAGATTAACACTGGTACATGACTGTTAATGAAACACTAAATTTTATTCAGATTTCACCAGTTTTTTCACTATCATCCTTTTTCTGTTGTAGGATCCCAGGATACATTTAGAGCATTTAGTGAAACAATTTTTACTGTAATTTGTGTCCTTAGAGACACACACATACACACAGTCCCAGTAGACCCCCCCTCCCAACCTTCCCCTACAAACCACATTTCAAACAAATAAATAAGTAAGCAAACACAAAGAACGTGTGCTTCAGGCCCACATTGCTAGTGTGTGAATGTCAGAATTAGTTCAGCCTCTGGAGCTCAGGTAGGTGGCCCCAAATCAATTACACAGAGCTCCAGGTCCAGGCTGGGCCACACTGTTGGAGAGACTTTGGCTAGTTTTGAGCCCAATGCCACTGTTTGAGACATCTGTGTGTGCGTGTATGTGCACGCATGCACACACACATGGTCATTGGATGTCCATTGCCGTGTCCAAGCTGGAGGCTGGTGGACCAGCCCTGTTCAACACTCCACCTGGTAACCCGAAAACCAGAGTGCAGACACAAGCAGGGATCAGGGAAGCCTGGGTCTCGCCAACACATTCCCTTAGCACAGACCAGGGAGATCTGGAGCTCCAGGTTTGGGGACCCCCATGGTCCCAGCTCTTGCAGATATTTGACTCAGGGCTGCTACTGCCCACCGCACCTCTGAGCAGATGACCTGTGAAGTCCCTCTCTTTGGACACCACCTTTGATCTCACCCTCTGCCGTAGCTTTCTGGGCTGGTATGGTCACAGGTGCCTCCTCACATTTGTTTCATGGCTTGACTGGGACAGTGGAAGTGATCTTGACTCTTGAGACCAGGGAGACCAGCTCTGGGATGCCACTGAGGAAGGGATTCTAAGTTGGGGTGGGGGCATGGCAGCTGGCATATCTGCCACTGGGGAGCCAAGATCCTGACAAGGCAGGTGTAGTTGGCTGAATAATGCCTCCTCCCACCAAGATGTCCATGTCCTAATCCCCAGAGCCTGTGAACGTTACCTTCCATGGCCAAAGGGACTTTGTAGATGTGATTAAGTTAATCATGAGATGGGGAGATGATC